AAGACATCGTTTGATGTGGGACCCTCACCTTCCTGGTGGAAGCACTCATATTCCGCTTCTGGAAAGGTAGGAGAACTCATTGGAGACTTCTGGACTGTAGTCTGGCCCATGGGACAATCCCATGCAGGAGACCATCTTTCCCAGTAGTTGTGACAGTAGGACCAGAGGGACTACCCTCTCTCTCCGAACGCGGCGACAAGGGTTTGGTTGCTGTTCCGATATTCCTGGGAGAGGAAAACCTGGCATAGGTTTGAGTCTATAATCGTCCCTGGGTGGAGTAGGTGGTTTGAGGGGACCATGTGGCTCTTGTGGAAGTTCACGGAAATCCGTGAGCTTGAAGAGTCTTGATGGTGACATCTAGATCCGACTGGGCCGATCAGAGGGAGGAAGATCGGATCAGGATATCGTCCAGATAGCATTATACGCGCACCGGAATCATTCTCAGATGGGCGGCTAAGATCGGTAGGATCTTTGTGAACACCCGTGGGGGTGAGGAAAGGCCAAACGGGAGTGCCCTGTATGGGAAATGTCAATGCGCGTAACAAAACCTGAGGAATTTTTGGTGTTTGGGGAGAATAGGGACATGCAGATAGGTTTCTGTCAGGTCGATGGATGAAAGAAAATCCCCCTTCCTGACACTGGCCATGATGGACTTGAGGGTCTGCATCTTGAATCTTTGGTAGATTAAGAAGTGGTTTAGACCTTTCAAGTCTAAGATCACTCTCCAGCCCCCCGAGACCTTTGGCACCACGAACAGAATGGAGTAAACCCCCCCCCATCCCCTCAGCTCCGTGGGCACTGGCTCTATGGCCTCTATCTCCAGTAGGTAAGTTATGGCTCTGGACGTGAGTCCTGCCTTAGTGGCATTTCTTGTGTGGGACACGCTTTGAAATGTTCTGGAGGTATGGACAAGAACTCCAGGGAGAGGCCGTGTCATATGGTGTCTATCACCCATGCGTATGTGGTGGTCATCTCCCAAGTGTTGCTGGATAGGGACAGATGACCCCCTATGGGAGAGGAGTCCCTGGCGTCACTTGCTCCGTCTGTACAGACGGCCCCCCGAGCCCCAAAAGGGCCGTTTGGTTGTGTATTGGGCCCTGACTCTAGGGTTCTGGCAGTCCTGCTGGCGGTCCTGTCTAGGTGGAAAGGACCGAGAGCTTCAGGGCCAATCCCAGGACTGCCCAACCTGAAAGGGCTGTCTCCAATCCCAGGTGTAGCTAGAATGAAAGGGTTGCCTGCGGACCTCCTGTTAAGGTTTCTTGTCCATCCTCTTAGAGGGTTGCGCAAGCACTGTGCGCTTGTCTTTTCCCTCTATGAGATACAGTTCAAGGACTGGTCTGAAAAGATGCGTGCCACTATAAGGGGCGGTGGACAGCCGCCATTTAGATTTAAGGTCGGCTCGCCATTATTTTAACCAAAGTAGTCTATGGGACAAGACCGTGGCTACGACAGACCTTGCGGAATACCTGGCAGAGTGAAGCGATGCGTCCACCACGTAATGTGATGCTGCGAACATTTTCTCCAATATTTGGTGTGGTCGCACCTGATCAGGAGGAATGAGTTCCTGGAGCTCACATAATCACATGATGGACGACCTGGTGAAAAAAGATGCTGATGTAGCCACCTTGATTGCCCACGCTGATATTTGGTGAGCTCCGCGGAGGGAAAATTCAAATTTCTTTTCCTCCACCTTCAAGGCCTCTGCCATGTCTCCTGGAATGGTGGAGGTAGAAAACAAGGAAGTTAGGGGAGTGTCTATAATTGGTACTTCCAGGAGAGAAGAGAAGGATGAAGAAACATTGAAGTTTCTTCTCAGTCAGGCTGGGAGATGGTAGAGTGCCCAGTGAAGACCACTGCTTCTCCACCATGCTGCGGAAGAAAGATGGGCATGGGATTTGCTTTTCCTATACCACCGGTTCTGAGAAAAGAGGGTTCGAGTCCTGGGTGGTGCTGGTCGATGGCTTAGGCTCCTGTTCAGGAGTAAGACTGGCTGTGGTGCAGGCCTTAAGGAGCAGTGATCTAAATAGGGAAGGGTCAAAGAGGGCAGATATCGGGGATGGATCCACTACGGCCTCATCTTCTGACAGTGTCAAAATCCACAGAACCCTCCTCTCCTAAATGGGAGGATGTATCTGAGTTGCCAGAGCCAGGTAACTGGGCAGGGTCTGTTTGAGATAAGGATGGTGGGGGGAGGGGCATCTGCCAAGGTAATTGGCCCATGGAGGAAGCCTTGAATTGCGCAAAGGCCTGGTGCATAAAGGACTGAAATTGTTCCGGCCACATGCCCTGTTGGTCTGATGGAGGAATGCCAGCTGCCGCAGGGGTATATGTGGCTTCTGGGACTTGTGGTATTGGGGGAACAGGGAGAGGGGACCAACCTGTCCAGTTTCCCCCTGAGGAGACCATGCCCTAGTGGCATTCCGTGGAGGCGCAAATTGAAACTCAAATGGTGAGTGGACCAGTGGGAGGGGGGAACCAAGTCTGTCCCACTGGAAGTGAGCCTTTGAACTCTGGAGAACTCCCTCTCCAGCGCCTGATATCTCCTCGAGGCCTCCCTCTCAGCTGCCTTGGAGGGCTTCTTCGTGGGCGAGGCCTTTGCCTTAGATTTTTTCATTCCCCCCATTTCCAATTCAGATGATCTGCACTTTTTTTCTTTGGGGGGAACAGAAGAGCCCTGCGATGGCTGAGAGGCTGAACTGCCTGCCATTGCAATCTGGATATTCCGGAAAGGAGATATCCGGGGGGGGGATTAATATGCAGATCAGGTTGTCAGAGAGGTAAACCTCACGTTCTGAACAATAGCAATGGTAAACAGCCAGACAATTAACTAAAATTGTCTGTTAGGCCTTGCATCACAGAGCCACACCGGCTAAGAGGGACAGGTGGGGTCTGACCAAAATTCCCCCCCTCAAATATTGCTGTGACAATAAAATTAATATTACTGTCAATAATATGATAATAATAATAATTCAATATTATTAATAATTATAGTCTTAACGAAAAGGAAGTTGCGGACATGCTGGCTTCTAAATTTATGTCTGAGGCTTCTGCCGCCTTGTCCAGAGCCCCAAGACCTGTTTGTTAAGGTAGAAGCTGGGGCTGTGAAGGCCTCCAAATGGCTATAGCCTCAATGATTCAGAGTCCGAGAGATAGGCCTTTATCGAAGCAACATCCGGTATCTGGATACTTAGAATACGCCTCCCGATCCGTGCCTGTTACGGCAGGAGAAAGCCAAGTTTAAACTGGAAATGAAGGATAGTGAGGAGGCTTTCAAAATGGCGTCCGCGCGTTGTTAAGCACCTCAAAATGGCGTTCACGCCAAAATTAACTGCCATTAGCAGACGTTAGGGCCTTCCCAGCCCTCAGGAATCCCCAGGGAGTTAAACTGGCTGTTTGGGCTTCTCCCGTTGCCCTGAGGCGAAAGGGATTACACTTGCGGTTCGTTTGAAGAAGCTGCGCAGCCTCCGCTGCGATCTGGATTGCCAGCAATGTGCAAGAAACTTCCATGTGAGAGGAACACTCAGACGAGACTGTAAGGCCTGTCAGGGATTCCCCGGGGGAATCGCCCGGCAAGGCTAACCCTCGATCCGACAAATCAGCTGTAACGCGCAGCGGCGATGCGGTGAGTCCGACGGCTGTCGAAGAGCTTTAGATGGAGCCTGCAAGGCTCATTAGAGCCGAGGCTGCAGTCAGCTGCAAGCTGCCTCCTCACTTGTATCTAAGTCCCCAATTTGAATAACTTTGGAATTTGTATATTAAGCAGCCAAATTAATATTCAAATTTGTAAATTAAGTTAGTAGCCAAATTAATATTCAAATCTGTAAATTAAGTGAGAACTAACTAATTAATCTAATCCATTCAGAGGAGCCAAGTAATTTGCGTCCTGCTGAGCTAAGACTAAGTCAAAAACTGGGCAAGGACCACCCAGAAGGAGGCATGGCAGATTTCTGACTTAGTCTCAACTGAGCAGGAAGGCTGAGATTACCCACCGGTGGATTCTACACTCATCATGCTGGAAAATAAGCAGCTTTGTTTATGATTTTATCCTGGTGATCATTTTTTATCTATTCCATGATGTGTGTGTGTGTGTGTGTGTGTGTGTGTGTGTGTGTGTGTGTGTGTGTATGATTACAGTGACTTTCACATGGCTGATCAATTTTAAATCCATTAGAATTTCTGGATTGTCTTCAATGTCAGAACCATGAAGAGTACACTGGAATACAGATAGCCGTCGACTTACAACCACAACTGAGCCCAACATTTCTGTTGCTAAGTAAGACATTTGTTAAGTGAATTTTATTACCTTTCTTGCCACAGTTGTTAAGTGAATCACTGCAGTTGTTAAATTAGTGATGGGGTTGTTAAGTGAACTTGGCTTCTCCATTGACTTTGCTTGTCAGAAGGTTGCAAAATGTGGTCATATGACCTCAGGACACTTCAACTGTCATAAATATGAGTCAGTTGCCAAGCATCTGAATTTTGATCACATGACCATGGGGATGTTTCAATGGTTATAAGTGCGTAAGTCATTTTTTTCTGTGCTGTTGTAACTTTAAATGGTCACTAAATGAACTGTTGCAGGTTGAGGACTACCTGTATTCTAATATAAGCATTATTATAACATAAACATCAGCAGCCTTGTGCTTTTTTTTCCAGTATCCGATAAGACAGATGAAATTATTACAAAGTACACTAAGCCCCTAGTATTTAAACATTGAGAGAAATCAGCAAACTGCCAATCTGATCCTTAAAGTATTCCCCTAAGAAAGTAAGCAACTCCACCATAACTATGTCGTATAGGCTAAACTCCAATTTACTTATTCTGACACAATCTATCACTTCATGTAATTCATGTAGTCTATAAGAGCTGTCAAACTTTTCACCTGGATCTGATGTCAGAGATTAGTTGCACATTATATGAAGCACTTGTGTATTTATTTTAAGGATGAGTATAGTTTCCTTTATAATTATATATAAACCAACATTTTATAAATACTCACAGTCAAAGGATAGTCATCAGCACACCAAGTTTTGCTTTGTGTTCCAATAATTCTTACATGTGGAAAATAAAACTCTCCCATGTTGATAATCTCGTCTACGCTTGCCTGATAAAGCACGTTTCCAATCAGAATGAAGGCATTTGGAAAAAGAATAGCTATATCTTTGACTTGGTGAATCATGCCAGATGGTACGAGGTCTGGAGGAAATTTTATTTCTGTTACTTTTAAAAATCCATTGCTAGTGTAGAAGATACCATCAACTGTCACTATGGCAGCTGTTTTTGGATAACACGCACTCCATTCTATTATGGCATCACTACCAGCTGGAAGAGTGACAGAAACTCCTGTTTTTGTGCCTAATATATACATAGGCTGGGCAATAGTAAAAGGAATATCATGAACAAAACAATCCTGAAAAGTCACCGTTTTGTCAAGGACGATTGCCATGTTATCATTTGCTTGGCTAGGCACTTCAATCATCCATACTCTGAAAACAAACAAAAATATAATACAATTAGATATTATTTTTTATAAACAAAGTATTTGAATATGCTTTTCATCAATACGATTTATTCTCTAATTCTTTTTAATAATGTTTACCTATAAGCTTCAATTACTTCCCAATTAAATGCTGAAGTTAAGTTCTAAAAAGCAAATTTTGCTGAAGAATTCAATGAAAATAATAAATTGGTTAAATAGCAGTTTAATTTAACATTTCAATATATATATATTTCAATATCTGGAAGCAGATCTATACAAACATATTCTATCTATGTTACAGCTGTAGCTATGAAGTATATTGTGCTTATATTCTCAGTAGCACAGTGCTTGTGCTTATTAGATGGTTACTGAGCATTAATTCATTTTAGAATCATCACCAATCTATTGTATCACATGTACAAATAGGATTTCAGAGGAGCTCTTATCCAAATTATCAACAAATGTATATACAGTATTTGAGGAAATGCCCTCCTTGACAACCAAATGTCAATTAAATTCAAATTTGTTACAGTATTTTCACAATTTGTATCATTATGCAATGATGTAAATATACGTGAATCATCTGGACTGCTTTTGATATAGTGCACTTATTTATTGTTTTGGGTTTAAAGTCCAGATGCAAAGTTTGTATATTGTATGTAGAATCTGTTAAATGGATGTCTACTAACTTGAAGTTTTAGCTTATCAGTTCTATAACTGTAGCTATATAGACATAGCTGGCTAATTGGAAAAAGGGCATATTTATCATCTAACCATCAATCATGAACCTTACCAAATGGGAAGGAAATATGAATTTTCAGATACTATTTAATTGTAATATTGTTATTTAGCAACAACCCTTACTATTTTTCAGGCAAATCAAGGCTGCTGCTGATCGACAGTTAGCATCATCTGGTGGGCTACATGTTTGCTACCCCTTCCTTTGTCATTTCAAAAGCATTGCATTACTCTATAAAATGTAATTGAAAGAACAGTACCCATTATAAAATGATTTGCTGAAATATTCTGTTCTTCTAAATAATGTTCTAATGCGAGGTTCCTGTCCCAAATTCCAGAACTGCCAGCTAAGGGACCTAGAATACTATGAAATAAAAACATTTATTTTTAAGAGAAATTTTTTAAAAAATCCTTTCTGTTAAATATAATTTCATTTGCACGAAGTTCTACTTCTTAGCAAAGATGTTAACAATACAAAAATAATAATTATTAGTATGAAATTTGTATATTTTTATTGTGAGTTGACCAACCATACAATTTATCGTAAAACCATAAAACAATGCAATGTCACAGTCCGGAAAGTGACAAAGAATTCTAATATAATGGCTCAGAATGACTCAGAGAATGATCCTTTATAGAAGAGAATTTTTTAAAGATTATTTCTTAATAAAGTTATTTTTTCTACAATATTTAAACTGAAGGCCATAGAAAAAGAACAAATTACAAGCTCAAGAACAAGCCAAATATAAGTAGAAAATGGGTTTTGGAGTTCTTTCAAAAATAGCTTAGGTAGATGGTACGGAAAAGAAAAATAGGCTATTACTTGAAGAGGAAAAAAGTGAGTTTATGATATTTATTTATTAATGAAATTTACATGGCCTCCCATCTCTTATATAGTGGCTCTGGGCACTATATAACAAGTATTGGAACTAGGGTGGGATGTCACAAAAATTCCAAAATGCAATTGGCTGGAAAGATATGAAAGAAACTCATTTAATGATATAAGATTTACAAATTAATAAGCTGCAAGCATAACATGTAGAGTAGACTTTCTGAAAAACTCTGATTAGATGTGTATCAACTCAGGGAAAGGTAGTCCTGTAGTTTAGCATTCCCCAATCTTTGCAACTTGGAGGCCCGGTTAGGCGGGAGAGGGGAACTGGGCTAAATGAGTGGCAGATGGGCACCCACGTGCATGCACATGCAGCTCAACTGCACGTTGAGCTGTGCACCCATGTGTGTGCATGCCAGCCCATGGCCCAGTTGCAAATAGACTGTGGTCTGGTAGTGGGCCACAGCCCAGGGATTTAGAACCCTTGTTGTAAATAACCTGGTCCCATGCCACGTAGGGATTTTCAAGATGATAACTAGCACCTTGAATTCTACCAGAAGGAAACACCGCAGCTTGTACAATAGAAATGTAACGTACACACCAGTGTGTTTCGGATTATTTATAGCTTCGGAATGATCTTCAAGAACAGCCTAATGTAAAGCGTATTGCAGTAACCCAAAGCTGAATTGACAAGGCTCAAGTGACTGTGAGGAAAGCTCTAGAAAAGGTTGCAATTGATGAGCAAGTCAAATATGTATAAAGGCCAACTTAGCCCTCCCCATGCCCCAACTCTCCCCTAGGCAGAGGAGAAGCTACGTATTCCAAATGGCTGGGTGGCAGCACTCAGGTCCACTCCTGTCTCTCATATGAGGGAAGCAGAAAAGATCCAGCTACACCCAGCCCCCAATTCTCCAATTACCAGAATATGTAAAGGAGCCCAGATCATGCAAATGTCCTTAATTCAGGTGTTTGCCAGCCACAAGATAACCATCCTGCATCTCTGCCTTGGAATCTCCACTACCACATTAATCACAGGAAGTTTCAGTCCAGAGTTGTCCAAGATAGGCAACAGAACCCATCAAAATGGCTGCTATATCTTATGGCTGCTTGAGCAGCAGCTGCCAAATACAACACACCTGCCCTTCTCCCCAGGTATGCTGCCTTTCCACGTACCCAGTACAGCAAACGGCCCATCCACTGAAGGCTCCAATGGCCAAGATCCTGTAACCACGGCCAGTTCCTTGTTCTGTGCCAGCCCAATGTCTCTGTTTTCTCTGCAGCAGCAGACTCAAGATGGAGGATAGGAGTCCACTGCCGCTTATTCCTCTCATCCTCTGAAGCCCATTCCATGTCACTCATCAGCTGGAACAGACAGATGACTGGTAGCATCACCAAACTCTGCTGATTTCCAACCATTCTCCAAGGAACCCCCACAATAAAAGGCTACCAGCCAACATAGTTTTACTTAGCTCCCACTAGGGGGGATGGTGATGGAGGCTCCACTGGGCCTTTTCAGCCATTTGGTACACTGCCACTTCACTAGTTAACTGCATTGCTGCTATTCCCGTTCCTTCTCCTCCAGCCCAAATAACTGACACTATCATGGCTGGCCACCTATTGATCTGACTGGGACAACCAAACACCTCTGTACACTATACACAATAATAAGATGAGCCTACCAACAGGCATCCACCTTGGTGCTATGATGGAAAAAACAAAGAACACATAAAACCTTCTTTCACTGATAACGTTTCTCAGATTTTTTTCCTTCTTTTCTCTTTTACTTGAATTCTCCCTTTGATTTTGTTTCTCTCCATTAAATTTATAAAATCTAGTTCAGAACATATTTTTCAAGAAAAATCAATTAAATTACCATTCAATGGGACTGAAGTTATCTGTTTTCAGCTGCTATCCCCTGGAAATATTTTTGTGCAACAATTAAGAAAAAAAGATTTTTTTAATGTGTTTAATTGCCAAATAGTGCCATATTAATGAAACAGACAAAATAAGCAACTTGACCTTGCTTCTGAAAATCTGATAGCATTATATGTATACCATGTAAATTATAAGGCAAAATAAAATACCTACTATTGGTGGTGAAGTGGCAATGTTTAGCTTTTCCTTCTTGTCTGCATTTTCTGGATCATATAACCATAATTTTATAATCTGACAAAAAATAAAGATTAGTATTACAGAGGAAGAGCTTTTCATTTTCATGAAAAATGCTTTTTGAAATTTCTGTACTGATATATAATTATTAAAACAAGTAATTGTATTTGTTTAGTTAACAAGTTGAAATAATTTTATTACTATTAGAAAATAGATTAATTTTCCCAGAGTTAATGAGAAAGGGAGTGGGGTTGCTCTGCTTATATACTAATGTTCACGGTGTTCATGGATTTCACAACACAAAATACCTCATCACCAACAATCAACACCCAGACAATCAAAAGATTAATATCAAGATTAATAATAGAGCAATAATCAAGAAGTAAACAATATCCCAATCAAGAAACTATTAACTTAGACAAACAAGCTAACAGGAGACAACAGCCTAATCAAGGAACCACCAAGATACACTCTCACCAACCCTGATGGCAAGCCTCTAGTATATAAACAAAGAACAAATCCCACTCCCTTCTACCATTGATGATGTTACCTAGCTGGATAATAAAATGTCTGCAACAAAACAACCAAGGCTCATACAACCTTAACACTATCAACCACATATTTAAATAATTTAAACAGGGGCTTAAGCTGGAATGGGAGAAGTCTTCTACTTCAGTAAAAGATTTATGAGGTATATGCATGTAGTCCTTTACCAACTCTGAAAGTACAAAAGATGATAGGCAATGAGAATTAATAAGAAAGTCATGGCTTTTGCTAAAACACATGCTAATATTATCCAGAAACAGAGAGTGATTAATATTCTCTTTACATTTATTGCCTTATTTATAATGAACATATTTACCTGAGTTGGACCAGTATCCCGTAACCTTGAAAAAAAATACTCAGTTTACAAAAATGAAAACTTTCTACTGAAAATAGACAGTAGCATTTTCAATTCAGAAAAATAGATAACAAAGCCCTGGTTCTGAACGCTTGTATTCACAGATTTGGAGCTTAAAACAAATTATTTGTAATGTGTCAGTTTTTCAACTTTCCCAACTTAATTCTATTAGTAAAATAGACTCTGGAATCTATTATGACTCCTTTATTTTATGATTTACAAATAAAGATGCTTCTATCTCCTCTGGTGGATGCATTCATTAGGATATTCTTGGCTGCATGCACTAAGGATTATTTGTTGTATTATTATGGGTATCCTTTTAAATTTATATAGTCTGAAGATACCCTGCTGAATAACTTCCTCCAAAAGATGGCTGTTGAATGCAAGCCTGATATTTTCCTGATATTCTCAGCAAGTAACGGTAACAGTGATAATATCACTCTGTATGCTTCTCAATTACAATTGAGAATTATTACAATTATTCCATTCATTTATGAAAGGAATTTTCAAACAGGAAATTGAGATTTTTCTTCTACTCCTTGTCCATAGTGTTTGGGATGTTTGCCTCCATGCAAAATTCAATATCAATAGCCGTGGTGGCAAACCTATGGCACGCGTGAGCCCTCTCTGTGGGCACGCACACCATCATCCCAGTCCTAGGCCTTCAGCTGGGTTTTATAAAACCTTTTTGCTTTAGGCCTCCAGTGCCGTGTGCCAAAAAAAAAAAAAAAAAGTTCAATCAATCAATTTCAACTTCTAGCGGGAAAAAAAAAAGATCTCACAAAGTTGGAATTGATCGATTGAACTTTTTAGTCCCACTGTCACATGTTCCGACTAATGAAGCACTTCAAAGAACTTTCAGGAATGTTTCCTAAAATCTTTATTTCAAGAGCTACAGTTTTGCCGGTCACCATGATGGACTGGTTGACGCCAGAATCTGAACTTCCTTTCGCTGGCATCAAGCTTTCCTTGCTAAACCCCTCCCTTCTCATGCAGTCACTGGTCACATTATCCAATTAGTGAGAAGGTCAAAAGTTTACTTCCTCTTTCTTTCCCGGGCTTTTTCCCCCGCTCAGTCTAAGCTAAGTATTAACCCAATAAATGCCAGACAGTTTTGCATATTGTCAAGGCAAGAATATACAGTATTTGCAGCATTGACACCCACTCAGTCTGGCATTATCACCGCAGCCACGCCCACCTAATGGGCCACACCACCCGGCACCCGTCAATACATAAGTGGGTTTTGGGTTGCAGTTTGGGCACTCGGTCTCTAGAAGGTTCGCCATCACTGATCTATAGTATCTAAAATCCCTGGGAGAGATCATTTAGAAATCTGGACTGAGATATTGTTAGTATGGGATATCAGACTATTCTGCCTCTACATTTTTCTAAACAAAGAAAATGATATATCTTTTACAACAGAGTCAATCAGATCATGAATGAATATTTACTTCGAAAAATCTCCTAGTATCTGCCAGCTGCACCAGAAAAAGGCTACAAAAAGTCTCTGCTGTGGAAGTATGCAGAATATATATGCTAAACAAAGTAATATATGTTACCATTTTCTTTACTGAGTAAACCTAAGAGTACAAAAGAGAGAGAAATAAAGATACAAAAGGCAGAATGAAAAATAGAACATAAATAAAAACCATTAAGGAGAATTTGGTACATATTCTCCCATTTCGTTCCATTTTTCCCCCAACCACAACCATTACAGGTAGTCCTTGACTTACAGTCATGTAGTGATTGTTCAAAGTTATGACATAGCTGAAAAAGGTGATTTATGATCCAGATCAGAAATTCTTATGGTTGCCCATCACGTAACTGCACTTCAGTTGTATGGCAACACGGTTGCTTTAATGACTGATTGTGGCATCCCAAGGTCATGTGACTATTTTATGACAATTTTGCCAAAAAAACGGCACTACCAGTTTTCACTAAAACAACGCACATAGCAAACAAAGGCTTTGCATTTACAATTGCTGCATTTGCTTAACAAACCAATGTGCAATTATGACCACTGCAAAAAAGTTGTAAAATCTGGATAGTCCATGACCAACCTTTTACAACTGTCACAGCATGCAGCTGTAATATGCAGGCTCTATTACTCTTGTATGTTGAGGATTGCCTCTACTTCAATATTTAAATTGCTTTTTAATATTTGATATTAAACATTGGAAATGTTCACTTCAAGCTGACCATAAAAGGAAAATTGGTACACATTTTATTATTGATAATAAATAACTTTGTCAGTAAGTTATAAGATGAGCATATTATGTCATAATAAATGTTGGACATTCTAGCTGCTGGCTTAGAAACCAGGAGCTGGTGAGTTCTAGGCCTTCTTTAAGCCTGAAGGCTGACTGGGGACTTTGGGCCAGATACTCTCTCTCAGCCCACCCTGCCTCATAGAGTTGTTGTAGTGAAAACAGGAGGCAGGCTTATTTGTCATATTCACCATCTTGAGTGAACCAAATGCATATTAAAAAGGTAGAAAAATATAATAACAATAATCTGGTAAATAATAACAATGAATCATACTCTACACCTGTAGTGGTGAACCTATGGCACGAGTACCAGAAGTGGCACTCAGAGCCCTCTCTGTGAGCACTCATGCCATGGCCCCAGACCCACTCCCCCCGTGGCCCCCTCCTCACCAGTAGCCCCCTCCGGAGGAGAGCCACCCCCAAGCACAGCCGACGCAGAGCAGTGCAGCCATGGCAGCTGGGCAGCAGGGACAAGATGCCTTGTGCCCCATCGCACGCAGATGATGCTGAGGGGTACGGGCGGAGGGCATGGGCACCATGGTGCTACTGGGCCCCCTGGGGAATCTGCGGCAGGCCGTGGAGGCAGTGAATGGCCCTGTGGATGGGCGGGGCCAGGATGGGGGCAGAGCGTGGGTGGAACGGGAGTGGAGTGGGGGCAGGCGGAGCCAGTTTTTGGGCACTAAAAAGTTCGCCATCACTGCCTTACACTCTCACAGCAATGTTGAGACTCTACTTTCCAAAGAAAATAGGTGGGTGTGGAATGCTGCAAATACATCAGGTGACTGAAGAAGAAAAAAGAGCTTTGGAAGAATATCTGGAGATGCACTGAAGCTAGTATATCTGGAAGGCTTACTGAATGTTGGAGAGACCAAAATGGCCTACAAGAAGGACTAAATGAAGAACAGAAAAGTGGCACGGGAAGATAAGGTATTACATGGCCAATACATTAAATAATAACCAGTAAAGCAGATATCAAGACCTGACAATGGCTAAGAGCAGGAGTACAGAACAAAGAGACAGAGAGGTGCACAAGATCAAGCCTTAAGAACAATGGCATACAAAGCCAGAATTGAGAAGACAGCTACAGACAGTAAATAGTACTTCTGCAAGGAAGCTAAAGAAACAGTGGCTCATTTAGTTAACTGCTGCAAGAAGGTCACACAGATCTTGTTGCTGACTACAGACAAGCTCACAAAGATCTTGATGTTCACCACAAACAATAGCATGATAAAATAGCAAAAATGGTGCTGGAAGATCTGCAAGAAATACTATTTGCCTGCAATTAAGAACTAGTGGGACCACAAAATAGACTAAGTAATAAAAAAATGAAGAAGCTAAAGTGCTCTGGGTCTTTAGAATTCAAACAGACAAGAACCTGGCACAAAACACCCCAGATTAAACCATTATTGATAAGAATGACAACAAAGTCAGGATAGTAGGAAAGTCTGGATAAAGGAACAGCAGAACAAAAGAGAAAGAAGTGGAGAAAATAAATACAAAATACAAAGACCTACAAATAAAAACAGAACTGTGCAAAGAAAGCAAAGATAGTATCAGTAATGCTAAGATGCATAGGTGCAATCTCAAAACTTCTGGAGCACCACTTGAATACCATTGGTATTGACAAAATCTCTATCAGTCAATTGCAAAAGACAGCTTTACTTGGAATAGCTTACATACTACAATGATACCTTAAATATTTTTAAACAATATCATCTGTCTATCCCAGGTCCTTGGCAAGTATTCAATACATGGACAAAAATGCCAAATCCAATCTAAACATCTGGCTGGTCATGTGACAAACCATAATGATAATGCCATAAAGAAGGAAAATTGTATCATGTGTGGCAGTGATGCAATCCTCCCCTCAAAATCAGGACCTCCATGGGAATTTTTATGGAGATTCTCAGTCCTCCAGATCATGGCTGTCCCAAAGGTACTTTTTCAAAAGGCAACTGGACTTTGTTTTTTTCTTTGAAGAGGTTTCACGTCTCGTCCAAGAAAGTGGATTAGAAAGTGAGGTTTGCAGGTTTATTATCCTTTAAAGGGGTCCACCACAGTTGTAAGAGCAAGATAACTGATCCTGTTGACTCAAACTCATAGAAAACCAATATCTGCCTATCTCAGGTCCTTGGGAAGTATTTGATACATGGACAAAAATGCCAAATCCAGTCTAAACATCTAGCTGGTCATATGACAAACCATAATGCTAATGCTATAATAAAGAAAAAAGACAGATAGCATCAATTGACTGATAAGTAGCAGCTATCGAGAGCACATGGTGATTGTGGTGATTGCCCATCCTTACCATATCCAGAAAGATTCCAAGTAACCAGTCTACTCACCAGTTCTTTGGTCTTTTGAAAAAAGAGTCTTTTGGGGGGAGGAATTAAGATGAAGACCCAGTTGGAATAGTCAACAATTCTGAGGGCTTCCTTGATCTGTTTTAATTTTTTTTGTTTTCCATCTTTACTGGTAGGCAAACCTTCAGCCTGATGGTATAGGGTTCTAATCACTCCCATTTTATGTTCCAATGGGTGGTGAGAATCAAAATGTAAAAACTGATCTCTGTGTGGGGGTTTTCTATAAACTTCAGTGAAGGCTTCTTCCTTAATGTGTACTGCACAATCCAGGAAGGCCAGACTATTTTCCTTAAAATCTTCCTGAGTGAATTCAATTTATCTGTCCACAGAGTTGATGTGTTTGGTGAAACCTCCACTTCATGTGTTTTAATCTTAACCCAGGTATCATCCATTCCAGTGATGGGTGGAAATCCTGTGAAGTGTTTAGGCTTTAGTTTCTACCTCCCAATGTAGAGATTGGCCAAAATGCAGAACACAGTTGAACACAGTCATTTTTTCACTACTTTGGTAGCTTCAGTTGTTGGAATGTAGGTGAAGAGTGAAGTCACAGCATAAAAAAATCATAGTCTTGTTCAGATCCAGATCTTGAACTATACATTAATTCTATTAGAAGTAAAATGAAAGAATATAAAGCTGATTTATTGATCAAGGTTAAAATAAAACTGTTTTGCAATGTTCTGGCAACACTTTTTGGACTTTTTGCTGATACCTTGTTTGAAAACTTGATGTTTTATAAATTTGCTTACAGATGAAGAGATATCTGTTTAATCTTACAAGAGTGGAGAGTTATTAAATTTATTTGTATTTGTTGTGATGAAGATTGGAAGTAATTTCTTTATGTATTTCTGTTCTTTTTCTTTATTATGTTATTTTTTTCCTGTAGTTTTTTCTATTTTTTGTTCTTTTTCTAAGTTTAGTTTGTATTAATTTTTATTACTATAATTAAAATTTTTAATAAAATATATTTTAAAAACCAAAAAGCATTGAAAACAAGTATATTGCAATATTCAGAAAATAAATAAAAAATTGAACTGAAAATAATTGTAAATATTTTGATGCTTTTGCCAACTGCAAAAAATTTGATAGCATAGACCAAGGGTGTCAAACTGCCGGCCCATGGACCAGATGCATCACTCCAAAACTGCGCCCATCCCATTGCCAGCAATGGGGGAAAAGTCGCAATATGTCACAACACGTCATGTGACGTTGCGAGTTTGACACCTGTGACATAGACTAATAAATGAATGTCAATTGACTTGCCTGCATGTGCTGTGTTCATAATGAGGGATGAAAGACAAATCCTTATACTGAAGTACATATAAAAGCTTGTGTTGTTTTTAATCTACACATGCTTTTTACCATCCAACAGATTTTTATAAATAATGTAAAGCATACAAACAAGATATTGTTGAATTTCTTTCTGAAAGCAAACATAATTAAATATTTAAGAAATTATATACTATTAAAGTGTTTCCTAAAAGGTAGGAAGATTCTAATTATGGAGTGTGTGGGTCCATATATGAATTTTATTTAATAAATATCTAATGCAAATATCTAAGAAGAGTTTAAAGTCCATATTTGAAAATGCATTTAATTTACTGTATATGTTCAGCAGGTCAGCGGTTCAAACCTCACCAGCTCAAGGTTGACTCAACCTTCCATCCTTCCGAGGTAGGTAAAATGAGGACCCAGATTGTTGGGGGCAATGTAAATATATATATACATTGCTTACTGGTGTACACCGCTTAGAGAGTGCTTGCACTTAAAGCGGTATATAAGTCTCATAAATAAATAAAATAAATAAATGTTTATTGAATTTGCTACTATTAAAGTTCTTTTCGTAATATTTTGAGATTTGTTCTACAATAGTTTATATTTTATATTTTCATATTCCATTTTGTAATTTAAAACCTGGATTAATAATTGTTGTTGATGGAGTTCACCTCTGCAGAGGGAGGGACTGGTTTCCTGGGATAGCATTAAGATAACAGGAAGTGATAGCATCACTTTATACTCTTTATTTGTACACTTTATACACTTTATTTGTGAGACCACACTTGGAATAATGCAGCTAGTTCTGGTCATCATGATTCAAGAAAGATGCTGATGCTCTAGAACAGGGGTGTCAAACTCGCAACATCACGTGATGTGTTGCGATGTATCGTGACTTTTTTCCATTGCCTGCAATGAGGTGGACGCAGTTTGACACCCCTGCTCTAGAAAGAGGGCAGAGAAGAACAACAAAGGTGATAAGGCAGTGTTTCTCAACCTTGGCAACTTTACGATGTGTGGACTTCAACTCCCAGAATTCTCCAGCTAGCTTTGCTAGCTGGAGAATTTTGGGAGTTGAAGTCCACACATCGTAAAGTTGCCACGGTTGAGAAACATGTGATAAGGGCTCTTGAGGCTAAATGATATGATGAATGGCTAACGGCTGTCACAAGGAAGAGGGCATTGATTTATTCTCCATAGCAGCTGAGTGCAAGATAAGAAGCAGTGGGTGGAACCTCATCAGAAGAGTTTCAATCTGGAAATAAGGAGGAATTTCCCAACAGGGAGAATGATTAATCAGTGGAACAGCTTGCCTCCTGGAGTTGTAGGTGCTCCATTGCTGGAGATTTTAAAGAAAAGATTGGATAACCATTTGTTTGCGATGGTATAAGGATTCCTGCCTTAGACAGGGGGATGGACTAGAAGATCTCCAAGGTCCCTTCCAGCCTTATGATTCAATGATTCAAGGAACAACAAAGGAAAACAGTAGAGCTCAAATATCAGGATGGTGTTTATAGTGAAATATTGCCTGAATTTTTAATCTTTCAGCAAGAACAATAAAAAATGAAAATAAAAAGGAAAAAAACGTTAACATAGGTTTATATATAGGATCTTCAAGGATTTAAACTCCGGCAAGTATTATTAATTGGTATTCATTCATTGTTAACCCTAATAATTGAGAGACCTCCATATATCAACTCATTTCCTAAAAGTCTGGAGTTATACAGGGGCAGCAAGTTCTTTTTCAATAGATTTCTTATAAGTAGCTTGTAAAGCAGAGCACTTCTTGTAGTGAAGGTTCTCTAAAAATGTAGTACCAGTATCACCAAGCAGCTGAATGAAAATACCTTCCATGCTAAAACACATTTTGCTCATGCTGAATGTGCACTTATTTGGAAAGGGTGTTCATGAAGCAGATAAAGCTTTGAGGTTGGTAGCTGAAAATTTATTATGGAAAAGACCAAACAGATGATTGCAGAATTCATTGAAAGAGACTCCCAAAGCATCAAGACTTTGGAAAGAAACTAAAGACCCACTAGAAAATTGGTAGGTTCCAGGAGGAACTGAAGCAACTGAAGACTCCATGAAGAGGAACAGTGGCTGAGTATTGAAGCAATAGCTTCAACCATGGTCTGAGTGCCAAGTAACATGAGGACAAGATATCAAGAGACACTGGCTTGTTTAACCAATAATAAGTGGAATTACCAACAGAGATACCAATTCTCCTGTCAACAGCAGAGAAACTATAGCAATCAAAGAGAAGAGAGACCAAATGACGATTCTGTTGGACAGTAAACTCCAAACAAGGAAGTCCACCAGCTGAGATGTTGCAATGGTAGCTAAACCTGCCAGAGCTATGAGTAGCTAACTGGCAATAAGGCGAAGATAGAGAGAAATCATCTATTGGTGTCTCTACATGTATCCCCATACACCAGCAGCCTGTTAGTGATGTTCATTGCAAGAGGAGATGAGCAAGAAAGAGGAAGAAAGCTAATTAGTATATCCCATGGTAAGGTAACTCAAAAGAGGGGCAAGTCTGCATCCTCATTTAGCTTTCTGTAAGAAAAAAAGGACAGAAATTCTCATTTTGAATCTCTTGTCAACTCTCTAAAGAAAAATGGCCTCTGATGGAGGGAGGGAGGGTTAGAGAAGTTTCTGCTTCTCATAGAAAAGTTCTGGGAAGACATCCAAGGTCAAACCATCTGGTTAAACAAAATGCCAGGTGCTGTGTTGGAATGATGCCCAGAGGGTAAAACTAAAAACTGGAGATCTAGTTAGAAAAGAAAGGAGCATGAAAGAAGGCAATATCTTTCCTTCATCACATTTTTTTGTTAAGCCTAGAAAGGCACTTCTATATATTTGAAACAAATACATGAAAATGAAAAATGTAGGTAAACTATGTATTCAATGGTAGTTAGCAGCACTAATTCAATTCTCCTAGTGACAGAAGTAACATTCAACTAAAATGTAATTAAAAATAACAATAACTAGTTTTCATATTGGACCATTATGGGAATAGTTAAGATTTCTTACAATGGTTTCAGTTAGTCCTAAATAACAAATATATTTTCTCACTCGTAAGTATATTTTTTTTCTTCTATTCAGTCATGTCTGATTCTTGGAGACTGCCTGGAGATGTCCCTGCAGTTTTCTTGGTAAGATTTTTCAGAATTGGTTTACTATTGCCTTCTTTCTAGGGATGGGAGAAAGTGACTGTCCCAAATGACCCAGTTGGCTTTGGGCCCAAAGCAGAAACCCAACTCCTATTTTCTAGCCTGATGCCATTGACCATTAAGGAGAGATTTCTTTCAATGTTTTCAGTTAGTCCTAAATACCAAATTTATATTCCCACTCATAAGTGCTACTATATGACATTTATAAACATAAATCTGATTTAGGCTGCAAAGAAAAAGTATTAAATATGTTATCTTGAAGTGATTGATTTTTAAGCAGTCTGTTGAAGTCAGCAAAATTGCTAATGGGTAAAAAATACAGTTGCAGAACTCTAGCTTCAAAACAGCAGCCATAGTTGAAGATATATAAATAGAAAGTTCAGTTGTGTGGGTGCTTTTTACCTGTTTTCATCTTGATAAATGTACCATGAGAAACAATTCACATCTGCATTGATAGATAAGTAGCGTTCCTCATCATCAGATGCCTATAAAAGGGAAAATACGAATTATTTCTTTTTTTCATAGTATCACAGTTATTCAAGAAGTTTCTTATGCATAGCTATGGGTATAGTTTTACATATTTGTAAAAATAACTGGCTTAGATGAAGGTATAAAATACAAAATAATACTTGCATATGATGCAAAACCTGAAGAAGTGACCAATCCAAGAAAAATTCAAAAAGTCGTAACAGGCTAGAATATAAAACCAAAACAAATCAGAGAACAATTTAGGGTTTTATAATAAATATGGGGAAGAATTACGTTGGGAGCAAAACATCTGAAAATATTCTAAATTCTGCTTCTTATGGCTAGTGGTTGGTGGCTTGAGGGCACTCCCTTCCCCTTGCTAACCTTTTAGCATCTTTAGATGCTAAATCTTTAGAATTTTTTAATTTGATTCTTACTTTTAACTTGTAAATTTAACCTTATTATTTATTTTGTTTTTAACAGTGCTTTTAGTCATGATTTTATGTTATCACAAAGTCTAGTCAAAACCTAGTACTACTGATTACGTCTTGGGAGAGTGGAAAATTTTTTATGTATGGTCATAACTGGTGAAAAATAAAATGAGAGTGGGGAGTTTCTACAGAATGCTGCACTTCATCTCTGGGCCAGCAGCAAAGCTAACCTAACCCTAAATTCCAGCGTTGTTTTGATCAAAAACTAATCCCTTTCATTGTCAATGCTGATTGGATTTAACTAGAACACCTACATCTCTTTCACAACAACAACAACAATAATCCTGCTCAGGCAGGAAACCCTACACCATTACAGACAAATGGTTGTCCAGTCTCTTCTCAAATACTTCCAGTGTTGGAGCATTCACTGCTTCTGAAGGCAGGTTGTTCCACTGGTTAATTGTTCTAACTGTCAGGAAGTTTCTCCTTAGTTCTAGGTTGCTTCTCTCCTTGATTAGTTTCCATTCGTTGCTTCTTGTCCTGCCTTTAGGCGCTTTGGATAATAGCTTGACTCCCTCTTCTTTGTGGCAGCCCCTGAGATATTGGAACACTGCTATCATGTCACTCCTCGTCCTTCTCTTTATGAAACTAGACATACCCAGTTCCAGCAACTGTTCCTTATATGTTTTAGCCTTCAGTCCCCTAATCATCTTTGTTGCTCTTCTCTGTACTCTGTACTGTCTCAACATCTTTTTTACATCGTGGTGACCAAAATTGGATGCAGTATTCCAAGTACTCCAATGCCAGATAGAATTTGTCTATAATCTTTAGGTGGAGAACTTATATTCTTCTGTACCTGCTCCCCAGACCTTGTATCTCCACCATGATCCTCCAAATATTGGAGGTGATGTGCATCATCTGCAGTTCTGCTTTCTGTAGCTGAGCCACTATTTTATTTGTCATTTTATTTCTTAATACGTTACATACAGTATGAGATTACCAGCTGAATCAGGTGTGTGAAACTACTTGATTAATTCACATTGAACACCTGACTGTCCAAAGCAAACATCTCAACCATGTAAAAGTTAGTGGGTGTTGGCAACCTGTTTGTAATTGACAACCTGTAGATCCAGACTCTACATCATGCCATTCATGAAATCTGTCTACATTCTGATTACTGAGTGGAAGGGGAAAAGTGGGGTAGGTAAGACTGGGAGAAGAACTGCTATGTATTCTGCTATTTGAGTTTTCTCTATCTGCTCTTAAAAGATGAAAGTTGGGGTTACTTTTTCAAGTGCATCAGCCATGATGTGTTTTCCTGCTTACTCACATATTTTCTGCAATGAATGCATAACTTGATCTGCTGCCATTTCAAAATGATCCCACTTAATGCTGCTTGGCTTTGTTGCAACTTATTCAAAAATGTTGCTTGACCTGGGCTATCTCCTCTTTCACTGGAATAAGGGAACATAGGTGGGAACACTGGATGTTTCCACTTCTGTTTCCTTGTGCCAACAGTGGAAATGTTGCAGTTCACTCTTTAGATAGAACTATTACCATTGTTGTTTCCAAAAAGATGCATATCCTCCATCACTAGTTCTACCGTGTCAGTAAAAAGAACTTCAAGCTCAAATAATAAAGTTGTAAAGTTGTCCTCCCCTTCTTTTGTAGCATGAATTTGTGATTGCCAATTCTGTAGCATTGAAATGGTGAGATTCATAACCTACTACTGCCTGCTTTCTCTGAATAAAGCAGATATCTTTTAATAAGATACTCGGGACTATCTCAGCCACCAAATAATGGCCATTTATTTTTGAGGACAGCAGAACTTTGTTAGCCATTATAATAAATAAATATAATTCTACACCTTCTTCTGATTTCTTTCATTCCAGAGCCTTTGGTTATCACAAAAACACAATACAGTTATATAGTCATATATGTGTTAATAGTATTTTGAAATAATTGTTAACTTACTGGAACTGTAACTGGTTGAATCCTATGAGTACCAGGAACTGAACAAAACAGTGTTGTTGCTTTTTTCCTAAAGCAATGGGGAGGAATCATAATTAAGTGATTAGCACATAATTACTTATAAGAAGATATTTGCCTGATATTTTGCTAAAATCCAATATGGTAACTAATGTAATTACTGAGTGCCTCCATCTGTTCTAGAAGTAAGGCTATTTTATAGAATTCTGCAATTTTGTGGAATTACAGTATAAAATATATGTATAGAACTTCACTCATTATACCTGGTTTTTCAGCTTAATATGTTGTGTGAACTAACTATTGTTTCTTTTATACTATGGTTTAAATGGATTATGGTGTGTTTATTCAATAAACCATATTTTTAAAAATCATCTGCCCTGTGTAACTGCAAAAACACAGACTAGATATATTAGGCATTTTTGTCTAATATAATCACCCACTGTTTTAAATATCTCTTGAGTATTTAAAACACAGCTAATGTGGAAATAGTGGGGAAATTAATGAAAAATATTGGGGAATGTTCTCACTTATCTCAAAAAGAAACAGAAATGTGCTTCTAGTTTATGGAAGAAAGGCTCCAATGCCATGATCTGCATATTGATTCACACAATTAGTTAAAGAAAACAATCATCTAGTTTGTTTATTATAAAAAGTAGGGTAACTCATATCTACCTTATATCTTTTTCTTAGAGCTGCTTTATTTAAAATTGGATGTTTAAAAAAGAAAGGGTAGCTGTCATATCACTTTTATAATCTTTGTTATACTATAGTTAGTAAATTATTAGGTGGAATTAATACAAAAGTAAAAAGAACTACTACACAAAATATCCCTCCATTCTATAAAGCTCTGAGGTTTCTTACTACTGGTAAAGGATCAATATGTTGTCCTCTCTCTGCCTCAACAAACAGTTAGTTATAACAACTTATTACATTTTCAAAGATCCAACAGTATTCTCTCTATAACCTGTTTCTTTCTGGTAAGTTTTTACATATTCTGTAATACTTACGTTGCATCACCTACTGTACAAAATGATGGAACATCCCATCTTGAAAATGTGGTTCCTTCATATTCTAAATATATCTAGATAAAAAAGGGAACATAGAAATACCCAGTAAAACATATAATTGATATAACAATATAAAGATCGTATCAATAATGGAGAAAAATTTAAAACTAAAAAATGGTTTTAGAGCGGAGAGGTGGTGGTGGTGGCTTCTCTGTTACTACACTAGCCACCTGCAGTCAAAACATTCTCCTTTAGTGCCCTATGCCAACCCTATAGCCAAGTTTTAAGGCATTTCCCGATAACCAGAAACATGGAGGCGGATCTTACCTCCTGCGGCAAGATGTTCCAAGGACAAGGGCCATCCAAAAAAAGGATCTTTCCCTGAACCCCACCTGTTGCAATTCCTTGGCTGATGGGGTCTCAGTTGGACTTTTCTGCCAGCACAATTGGGCGGCCAATTCCATTGGGGCAAGACAGCTCCTTTGATATCCCGGACCTATGCCACAAAGGCTTTAAAGGTAATGACCAACACCTTGAGTTGGGCCTGGAAGCAAATCAGGAACCAATGCAGCAGTGTAACAGCAGTGTTGCATGTGCCACTCAACAGACACCCAGAACTGTTCATGCTTCTGCATTCTGTATCACTGTAGCTTCAAATATTTTTCAAGAGTTGCCCCATGTAGAGCACATTGCAGTAATCCAACTGAGAGATGATCAAGGCCCCATGGTTCAGGAACAGGTGCAACTCACGAACACACAAAATTCCGCAAAGGCTTTCCTAGTCACAACTGGCACCTGCTCTTTGAGCAGGAGTCACAAGTCTAGGAGAACCCCCAAGTTGCGGACCTGGGATAGTGCCACTCTATTCAGAACTAAAAAAGTTAAACCTCCAGATTTGAGGCTCCAGCTATCCACAGCCCACTCGATTATCCAGGTTCAGCTGTAGCTTATTTTCCCCTATCTGAGCCCCTACAACCTTCAGGTACTGTGACTGGGCAGTCACAGCATCACTTGGATAACCAGGGATAGAGATGTAAAGTTGAGTGTCATCAGCATAGTGATGATATTTTATCCAATAGTGTCAAATGATCTTACCCAATAGCTTCATGTAGATGTTAAAAAGGAGCAGACAGAGTACTGAGCCCCTATGGCACCCCACAAAGGAGTGGCTATAGGCTGGACCTCTCGCTCCCTATTAACCGATTGTGGAGAAAAATCAAACTAGCAAAACACTATACTGTCAAGTCCCAAACCTCGCAGCCAATACAAAAGGATACCATGGCCAATGGTATTAAAAGTTTCTGAGAGGTCAAGGAGGTGAGAATGGGGTACACTACCCCAGTCTTTTCTTCTTTGCCAATGTGGCAAAGGTGTAAGCTTTCCAGTATTATCTGAAAAATTATTGCAGAAGAATGATGGGTTATATTTTTTAAACACTTTCTGCATATTTGAAGTTTCACTGAAATCAAAGGGAGGTAGTTGTTTAATTGCACATTAATAAAACATGGCTGATTTGCATAGCTTTTCACACCGAAGTTTTCTAAGATCCTATCCATTAGTGAACCAATAGTGGGTGCATTTCACATATTAAATATCAGAAAACTGTATATAAGATTAAACATACAATATATCAGAAAATAATTAATTCATTCTACAGTTTAATATCTGGCATTATGAAAGCATTTACTATCCACAGTATCATGATGATGTAACATTAAAACAAGTCACAAATTCTGTTTATACTCTGGTCTCTAAATTAATTGTGAAATGAAAGTTTAGCCCAAAATTGTATTAAACTGATAAAGTGATGGATATATTCCAGAAAAAAATATTTATAAATATATAAAATCATTAATATACTCTCATATATTAGTACAGTAAGCTGCAAATGAATAACAGTTTGGTCTTTTGTTACTGATATTATAGCAGTTACTCCCGAAACAGCCAGTTTGTGCAAATATAAAATTGGTGTCTTAATACAAATTATGTACAACACATTTATTATGCTGTAATTATTTTCAATGAAATTTACAAAGCCTTAACTAAAGATGGCAAAATATTTTTAAAAATTTCAAATATTAACTCAATACATAATGCAATATATTTTGAACCCATTACATAAAAATATATATTTCAATGAGGTAACCCAGGTAGAAATAGCTTATGATATGTATTTTTATATGGATTTTGACAATAAACACTTACAGTAGTTCTTGTAGAAAATATCATGTATGTTCCAATGCTTGTTCTATACCTGGAAGTAAAATAAAGTTTTCCAATAATTGCTAATACCTGCATCTTGCATTCTACTGCCATTCATATGTTAGTTCTGAATTATTCAGACTATTCATTATTTGGCTGCCTAATTTTCTTAAATACAAAACAAGGACAAATTTATCAGGTTAATAATATTGGACAAAGTGGTATTTCATTCTTTCTAAGCCAGTTCTTTGATCAAATTACTTTTAGATTCTGTTTTTTAGACTTTGGAAAACAGTAATTTGTAGTATTGGTCTTTCTCCACTTCAGATCTAAACAACTGCCATGAAAAATCACCTGAAAAAGTAGTTGAATGGTCCCACTCAGGCAGTCACATCTTCAGTTAAATTTTGCCATTTTCTAGTAGATGAGTTTAAGTTTTAAAGAAGTCAAAATATTCCATTCATGAGCTTCCATAAAACAAATAACTGGGCTTCAGTTACATTCATCAAATCCCCCTCTAATAGTATTTATTTTTGGTGCTATTAAAAATGGGGAGCCATCACTTCACTTCAGAAAAATGAATCTCATGCAGAAATAAAGCATGGAGCCAAAAAGGATACACACATTGACAATTAAAATAACTACAGTACCTTATGACTTCAATCAGTCAAGTGGAATAATGCCATTCTAGGGAAAGGAAGGGAATACAATGAGGGGACCTCGATGCTCTCTTGCTTGTTTTCTTGCAGACATTTCATTATCCAAACTAGGTAACATCATTGATGCTACCGGTAGTAGAGAATAAGGTTTGCTCTCATTTTATATTCTAGTGACTGCCCTGTTAGCATTGGTGGGAGTGGTCTTGGTGGCTCTTTGGTTGGGCTGTTTACTGTTAGCTTGCTTGGCAGTTCCTTGTTTGGGTATTGTTTACTGCTTGATTGTTGGTCTAATCTTAATCTTGGTGTTAATTTCTGTTCATATGGGTGTTGACTGCAGGTGGGAATTACTTTAGGCGATACAGAAAGCCTTTATTAAAGGGCTGTCAAGTTTTTAAATAGGGTACGGAAACAAATTATACACGTGATATGTCATAAAGCAACGAATGATACCATCAGACACCCTTACAATATGTTACATCTTTTCTTTTCCCACTAGAGTTTGTTTCTTTAACCCTTGCAAAACTCAAGGACTTCAGAATTTTGTTTCATTGAAGTTCCTGAAAGGCTAGTTTTTGAACATCAAAAGAAGTGGCTTTGGTCCAAAGGAAATCATGGTTTCCTAAACTTCAAAAGGAGGCATGGATGCCATGTTAAAATACTACCATCCCCTTTATTAAAATGCTAATAATAGTCTAAAATTTTACATATAAGATAGTGAACGTATTTTCTTGGAAAAAGAACAAAAGACAAACCTGAAAGAAGTTCATAAAGATAAAAAAAATTATAACTTTCGTCTACAAAGGAAAATTCAAGAGGAAAACCAAAGAAAATAATTAAATTACATAAATACAAACGGGCATATATAGAATAAAAATGAAATATAAAGGACTGTCCTTGAAAATAATGGATGTATGGTCACTGTAGACGTAAAGCCCCCCAAAATTACTAGTCAGCAGTGAGGGGACCCTTTTTGTCCTGTGATATGAAAAAATGTAAATTCTCCGGGTTTTATTGGCCACAACGGGACGAAATAATTTGCTAGTTGTATTAAAAGCAGTTTTTTTTTAAAAAGGGGGAGGAGTTAACCCTATTTAATGTGCAATCCTTCGTTGGATATTACAATTTTGACTAGCGGAAATACTTTTCAATATGTTTCTTGTTTTTTGTTTTTAGAGCAGAGTCGCATTTCTTGGAACACAACGCCCGTTCTGGAAGGTTGGTGCTCGCCTTCCTTTCCCTTATCACCTCCTTCTCTCACCTTCCCCCTGAGTCTCCCACAAGCCCCACCTCCACACCGCCCCGCAGCCATTCCACCACAGGCAATCCAGCAGCAAGGGCAAGATCAAAAAAGCCGGCCATCGGAGCTGCGCAAGAAACATCTCAGCCGCTACCAACAACCGCCGCCGCGCGCTCTCCCCCTCGCGGCTCAGTTAACGCTTCAACTCAGCAGCGTTCGGAAGAAACTAACAGCAACTACGCTTCCCGGGATGCCCAGCGCCTCTAAGCCGCGGCGTAGCTCGCCGAGTAGCTTCCTGGGAAGTGTAGTCTCTTCTATGGAGGCGCTCGAAGCGGCACGTTTTTCAGGCTATGCAGATGAGGAGGCAAGTCTTCACATCGGCTCACTCGGGGCTATCCAAGGATGACCAATAGGCGGCGGGCAGCGCAGAAGCGAGATGCGGCAGTGGAGTAGTGCTGCGTGAAAAGGCGGGGAAGAAGGCGCCTTCACCGGCCAGGATGGGGTCACCTTGAGTCTTTTCTGCGGCAAGTGTAGAAAATGGGTGGAGGAAAAATAATTAAAGCGCCTTCCTGGGCGTGGTCTTTCGCGCCCAGAATTTTCTATCCTAATTGTAACGCTTTGTAACACTTACTAATCCTGGTCTCGCTTATACTGTACTTCTAAGCAGCAACCAGTTGATTTATGGGGCTTTCTTCATGGATGAATTCCAGTGCGATCAACCCTTCACTTGCTGGGAAGCTCAGCTGGCATTAAGAATGCTGTCCTCGTACCTTATTCATATTTTGCCTTCCTTTTTCTGTGACCCGCCTGCCAAATGGGGCTCCGCTGATTTTGCAGCGGTGGAGGCTGTGATAAGCAAAGTGGTTACAGTTGTTGACTCTTCTAGCTTTGCTGCACCTTATTGGACACATTGCCAGCCCCTGGGAAACATTTGCCAGTCGCTGTGGCTCAAAAAAGATGGGGCAGATCTCCAGGTGTTTTCCTCTGCCGCTTTTTCTACTCTTGTCATGGTCAGAGTTAAATAAAATAATAATATACTGGAGTCAGGAAAGCAGCTTGCTTCTTTCCTCTCTTTTTCTTTAGATCAACAAATGCTAACTTCCAGATTCCTCCCTGTTCTGGCCAAGGGCAGGGACTGATCTCATCATTTCAATGCTGTTTCAGCCTGTAATGACATTTCATTACTGTAGTATTCAATCTGTTGCACTATTTCAACTCCTGGCAAGCAGTTTTCTTGTATGTTTCACGTGCCCCTATGCCCATCTCCTTGATGGGACAGCAGCAGAACAACATGAAATGAGGCTGACTGGGCTAGAGAAGCCTGCATCAGCCTGGAAGGGTCAGTAAAAGTCTCTCTTTCTACCTGGCAACCCATACAATTTTGAACATCCTACAATTGTTGGATGTTGGCATTTTAAAGGGAAACACTAGTATGGATGAGATTGGCAGGCAAATATGGCAAGATCTTCTTACAAGGGCATGTTTATACCGTGATTAGATGCAAATAGGGAAACACCCATTCTTCCTTCACTTTCTCCATAGTGTGTCTTTCTCATAATTTCATGATGTTCTGTCACTGTGGTCTTTTATAACTACCATGTACAGTATGTAACATTTAGTAGGCCCAGAAATGCTGATAAGCTGGGGAAATATATTGGGAGATGAACCTAGGCTCTGGGAAACAAGGACAGGATAAGATAAAGTAACATTTTAGAAAGAAATTTCCTAGAACACTGCCCCTTTTGTTTTGTCAGAAGTGCCATTGTTTTAGTAACATTTCCCTTTTAGGTCATAATTCTATCCTTAGTACTTTCCTGACTACTATATACAGGATGTGCTGCATTTAATCCAGTGTTCCTCAGATGTGTGGATGCATGCTAGCTGGGGAATTCTGGGAATTGAAATCCAAATGTCTTAAAGTTGACAGGGTTGCAAAACATTGAAATTCTAATTGAAAACCTTGCCCCTATGTCCAATCCCATATATATGTATATAGAGGGAATGTTTGCATCCACAGCAGATTTATCTTTTGCTTCTGTAGTGAACTGAAATAAACCAATTTGGGCTTCAATGGAATTGTACGTTGGTCTCCAATCTGAATGAAGTCCTTTCCCCTCCCTACAATTCAGTGTCAGAAGTGTGATGATCGGAAACAAGAAGGCTGAGATTTTGCCTCTGTGGCAACCATCAGGCATTCTCCATTGAAGTGCTATACAAATTGGTGAATTTGGGAACCCCAATCTCTTTTGTATCTTGGGGGCAAAGCAAGTCATCCTGAAAACAACTGGAATCATACAAATACTGTAAGTGGAAAGTTTTTCATATTTTTTATGTAGGTTTCAAAATTTCCCCAATGCAGGCCTTCCCTCCCACTATCCTGTGTTAGTACAGTTTATTCTGGATAGGGTTAATGTTATCATCTCAATTACAATTAGCCAACTAGATCAGATAACCATACCCTTGACCTTCGGTTTACTTACAGTAATCTTTTCTGGCTTTTTAAATGTTAATGTGAGGCCCAGCTGTTGCCAGGTTACTTGGTTTAGTGGTTATCTTCAAGCAGAGTTCCTGCTGAGCTCCAAGCTGAGTACTATGCAAGTTTTTAAGTAAGCTTGCTGTTGCTTACCATGCTCTTGTCTTCTAGGGTAGCTGCTGCTTACATCCTGATAACCCTTGTCATCTTATAGCCGTGGTAGCTGTTGCTGCTGAAACAAAGGTGTCTTTATAGTCTTGAAATGCTCTTTACTGAACTGAATACTTTATTTGACACACAAGAAATTTGTCTCCTGTGCAGAAGCTCACAGTGTACATGCAAAACAACAGAGTAATGATACCATCATCAAAATACCAATAAAAGGGGGGGGAGTAAAAAAGATAAGGATAAATAATAATACTACAGCCATACTACATAGGTAAATACACCTAGACATTAGGCAGCATTTGAGAATTAGGTGTTCAGCAGGGAGATGGCATGAGGGGGAAAAAATTGTCCCTGTCTCTTTGGCTCGTTTTCAAATCAGGATCTGAGCCTAAGTGGAATAATGCAGTACAAACTGGCTGTAATATGCAGTTCATCTAGAAAATAGCTTACTTTGGGAGAGAGGAATGCTGGATGGCATTCAGCTTCTCAGATTCAGATTTAATCTTCCATTTCCCATTACAGTTTCTAGGTGGTGTAATTTTCAGTACTACAGATGACCCTTAGTTTGATTCTGGGTACAGTTTTATGCATTTTGCTGCATATGTTCCCTAAATGTCTTATGTATTCTTCCCATTTTGGGCTTTAACCGCAATTTGGAATAAGTAGACCTTGTACCACTTTGCTTTGCTAGACAGTGTATTCTGGATAAGCCTCTGAAATGTACTAGGAGCTCCACATAGTTTAGAAGAAAATAGCACAGTGTGTAAGCACAGTATGTAAAAGTATTGCAAAAGTCCTGAAAATGGAGATGAGGGAATTCTGGGAGTTGAAGCCATGCTGTCTTAAAGTTATCAAGGTTGGGAATCTCTGCTGTGGAATCTGAAGGAGCAGGACTTAAGCCTGGGTGAATTTAGGCAAATGGGAGAAACCCACACTCACTTCAAACAATGAAGAACAAATAACAGATCACAAACAACAGAAACCTCTTAACTTTCTTTTAATGGACTCTCAGCTAACCCAAATCACAGGGCACAAAGTGCAGGCAACACTTACACACACACACACACGCAGAAATGAATAGTGGATGCTGGTGTGACCAGAGTTTGCATTCACTTTTTCAAACATTTCTATTACTACAAAAATAAATAGAAATATATTAATTATATAAAATATAATGTTATTATATTATATTAATTATAATACATTATATTAATAAATAGGAAATAGGCTATACAAATTATAAATAATAAAGGAGGTTTTGAATAGCTATCCCATTTAGCAACTAACTTGATTTTGTTGCATTTATTTATTTATTATATGGCACATTTGCATCCATCACATTTCAACAAAAAAAATCGATTTTGTTGTATGCCTGCACAGGACTGCATCTCACCATTTGATTTTGGTGCTGATAACAATAGAGGTACACCATTCACTGTCACAGAGTTCAGTCACTTCCATTTAGTACAATCTACCTCTCTCTTTATCTAACACTTTTTGGATCCTCTCTGGAATCTGGTAGAAAGAACATAGCCATTCCATAGGGAAGTACACTCCTTTTGATTCTGCTACACATTTCATCAGCCTTTACCACCATCCACCATGGTATTTCCTTGAATGCGAGGGATTGGAGGTACTGTTCTGAAGAGGCTCTACTCCTTCTTTGGATGGTTGTGGTTGGTTGGTTGGTTGATTGATTGGAAAGCAGAGGTTAGTATGTACTTATTTGTGAATCAGAGATGAAATGCTGACATCATATGCTATGGTAAGAGAAGTATCTGGCTGAAAAAATGACAAAAGAACTCCAAAAAATTCTTTTCTCCTGAAAAGAAACCATCATGACTGTTGCAGTGTCCCCAGGTCATTTGATTACCTTTTGCGACCTTCTGACAAGTAAAGTCAATGAGGAAGCAAGATTCACTTGACAACTGTGTTACTAACTTAACTGTGGTGATTCACTTAACTGTGGCAAAAAACTTCATAAAATGGGGCAAAACTCACTTGTGTTGCTTAGTAATGGAAATTTTGGGCTCAATTGTGGTAGTAAGTTGAGGACTACTTGTAATAAAATGTTTATCAATTTATCTTTCCAGGTCACCATTCATGATTTATAGAATATTTAAACAAGGAAACAGTATTATGGGTAGTAGACATTCCTGTGACATGCAAGGCATAATTTGCATACAGCATACACACAGCATGTAAGGCGTAATGTGCTCTATCTCACTAAAGTACTTTTAGTACTTTCAGAATTTCTAAAAGCAACCAAGAGCAGGAAGTTTTAACAACAAAAAGAAGAAACAGAATGCCTCCATGTGTCGTAAATATTTAAAAGGAGAGGACATACCATTGATAATCACTGGTGATTTTGTGTGTGTTCATGCCTTCATGGGTGGACTCCTAGTGACTCCTGACGACTGCCTGGACTAGTCCCTGCATCGAGGGCTAAATAAACTACAGATAAACAGATTATAAAACTTTCAGAGAAGACCAGCTCTATCATAAACAGATACATATATTTTATCCTTGACTCTTAGGGCTAGGAACTTTTCTCAATTTCATAGAATTAATTGCTTCTACTATTTTTGAAAGAGAAAAATGTAAGGTTAAAATATTTCTCTTGGCCTGTGGTAACTCACATTCTGTGGAAACGTGAACCTCATTATTTATTTATTTATTTATGAGACTTATATACCGCTTTAAGTGCAAGCACTCTCTAAGCGGTGTACACCAGTAAGCAATGTATATATATATATATATATTTTACATTGCCCCCAACAATCTGGGTCCTCATTTTACCTACCCCGGAAGGATGGAAGGCTGAGTCAACCTTGAGCCGGTGAGATTTGAACCGTTGACCTGCTGAACATAGTCAGCTAAAGTGGCCTGCAGTACTGCACTCTAACTGCTGCGCCACCTCGGCTCATGTTTATCTGTTTATTATCTCAATTCATTTTAGATTCCATTTTTCTTTAAGGGCTTGGTGGAAACTGTTTTTCCATAGATATCCTAGTGACATATTGGCTGATTAGTTTAACAGCTAATAGCTTACTGGATTTCTTTCTCCTTTCTCAGTACCATAGAATGATTTTATAAACCTTCTGTTTGGGAAGTATTTAAGCTTGTTATCTAGAAAAAGAAGGATTCAAATTATTCAGGAAATAGAGAGGTTACACAGAGAGTTGATAATTTGTTTTCTTACCCTTCTGTGGATTTAACTTTACAGCAAAAATATAATCTCAAAATATATTTTTGAATGATCCCACATGCAAAAGCACAGAGATATAATGAAATCTTGTTGAAATAGAAAAACAAAAACAAAACAAGCCACCTCCTTGTGGCGTAATCTCTTTGCACTTATGAGCTGTTTTGGTCCTCAGGGCAGCTGGTGAGAGAGAGATAAGGCAGGCCTTTCATACACTGTCCATGTGACTATTTTTTATCTGGCCTATTTTGGTTAAAGAAGTATGTGCTTCAGAAATAAAAGATAACTTTTCTTTCTCTGACTCCTTTGCTTGTCTCTCTCTCTTTAAGATGCCATTTCCTGTCCCATACATTTCTGAACAAATCCAATTTTTACTTCAAATATAAGTAATATTGTTAGTATTTATTGAGATGAATACATTCAGTTGGCTAAGCCTTTGTTTTTCCTTCAGGAGCTATATTGTGAGCATTTTTCTTTTTAATGAAATTTCTTTTTAATTCTGTTATGAGTTGGTCTTCTTTTAAGCACACTGCTTACGCTTAGAAATTCAAATCTCCCACACGTCTGTTCTACATGCTTAAGAAATATTAAATCATTCAACATTCAAAGATAATTTGAAAGATATATTTATATTATAATAAACAACTATAAGCTTCATTAGAAAATGGCCTGAAATAGTAATGTTAGCTCATGCTGAGGTATGAAATATCAGGAAATAGAGTAGGCAAGAAAATACCTTATGTTCAGGGAAAAAAAATGCTCCAATGGAAAGAAAATATTTACTAAATTACATATATATCTGGATTATATGGATTCATAGATGAGTGAATTATGTTAGCTTTCTGCCTGCCTACAGACTGAAGCAATTGTCACTGTATATCCCTTCTTTTGTTATTCCCCTAAACCAGGCGTAGGCAACCTTGGCTATTTTATGATTCATGGACTTCAACTCCCAGAATTCTGGGAGTTGAAGTCCACGAGTCATAAAACAGCCAAGGTTGCCTACCCCTGCCCTAAACCAGTGATAGCGAACATTTTAAAGACCGAGTGCCCAAACTGCAACCCAAAACCCATTTCTGTTTCGTCAGGTGCCGGGTGGGCATGGCCCATTGGGTTGATGTGGCCCATTGAGTGGGTGTGGCTGCCGTGGTAACGGCAGATTGGGTAGGACTAAAAAGTTCAATCAATTCCAACTTTGCAAGATCTTTTTTTTCCTGCAAGAAGTTGAAATTGATTGAATGAACCTTTTTTTTTTTTTGCACACGGCGG